GCCCGACGCATGTGTAACTGCAGCTGCGACTCAAGACCATGTCCAGAGCCAAATAAGTTCGCCTCTCCGGGCTGCCTGCATTTCCAATCGCCTGCCCTGCTGTCCTCAAATGGCCAAATCACTGAATAATCCGCCTGTCGGGCAGTCACTTTTCCTGGTTTTGATTCCAAGATCGCGTTCAAAACGTCTTTTCTTGGAAAAAGTTCGTATTCCTAAATCTTGTTATTTTAGACCTTAAGGATAAGATATTGATATTTACTAGTATTTCAACTAAAATTACTTATACAACACTCCTTATTGATTATTCTGCTGTGAGGACTTTCATTTCATATCAAAAGATTCATAGGTCGGTATCATTAAAAAACGACAGCTGATTACCTTTGTTCTCTAGCCGTTCGCCTTTAATACGGCATTCAGGTTGACGTGGTCTACAAGACCTCCTCTAGCGTTTCGGAATAAGACAGGCTGAACTTTCGTCCATCATTTAGCAGACATCCTCAGAGCTAGAACTCATTCTTGCAAAATTCTCAAGTTAACACTAAGTCAAGAAGACTGGCAGATAATCCTATTCATCCTCTTTCTTGGGTTATTACAATTTGATGATCCAAGACTAATGGATTCAGATTAGGGGCTTCGTAATCTACCGTTCATGCGCACAAGGTTCATCCATTAAACCAGAATTATATACTTACTTACATAATTTCGGTCATGCTTTTCCTTGTATCATTAAACCTTGATGACCCGGGGGTGACGTTAATCTATGTACTGTGTACAGACTTTAACACACACACATATACACAGTAGAGTCTAACAAAACTATATTTGGCATGATATATAAGCGTGGAAGTCAGGTTACGAGCTCATCAGTCTGAATCCGTTAGTCTGGGGTCATTAAAGTTTAATAACCCAAGAAGGAGAATGATTAGAATTTCGTAATCTTGTACTTCTGTTTTAGCTAATAAGTTTAACAGGCATATTGAACAAGTTTAAATTTAGTTAGAACCATCACTCAGCTCACAAATTGGTTCTATCACCTTCAATCTTTCAATCAAGCAAAAGTAATCCTTACTCAAATTTCTAGCACGTATTTAACGTATTTTCTGATCTCCTACTTCTAAAAGCCTATCTTTTTTATGCATTTAGTAACAAGCATACTATGATCACCAAACCTCTGCATCTGAGGCCATTATTTCTCATATCCACTCTGCGTTCCGTGTTCAGCCACTTCTGGCTGTTGGATTCAGCTGCCTTTAAAGGCATTTTTGTGCACAGTTTACGAAATTTCGGACATTCTTTTACTGGAGTCATTAACAGTTGATGATCTGAGCATTAGGCACACACACAGACGTGCATACACATGTATATATTTATTTATTTATTTATTTATACATACATACATAAACGCGTAAATACATACATATATATGCACGCACACACTCAGTCGAGTATAAGAGAATTAATCAAACTATTCTATGACCATCTACATATAAATATTATTATCGTTATGAGCATATATAGCATGTAGAAGTAGCTTGACAGTCTTCTTGACTTAAAAATGAGTCGCAGCCCTGATGATGTTCGTCATATGACGAACGATAGCTCAGCCAGTTTTACCCAAAACAAGCTAAGATGTCTTAGGGACTGTGCCAACCTGAACGTCGTATTAAAAGCTAATGACTGGAGGACAACGGTAAATCACCTGCGGCTTTTCGATGTGATCGACCCAAGAATCTATCTATCATGCACTTTCATAACAAATAAAAATATCCACAAAATGTTATCTCAGGAGATTAATCGAAACCCGCCTTTTCTTAATATACGCGTTATTCTCCCCATTTACTATTAGCCAATGGACTCTCAAATAATGTGCATTTTTACCTATTTACGATATCTATCAATTTTCACTCTTATTTGACTTGCTTAAGGTATATTAACATTTCTTTCTTTTGGAGGAAAAGTCATCTCGTTAGGAAGCTGCCTCCATTAAGCATACGCCTAAATAGATAAATGCGAAAAGTTAATCCTATCATTCCAGCTAAACTTTGTTTAGTCGTTTCCTGGCGACATTTTTTGGGTTATTGAGTTTATTTAACGGTGTTCGCTGCTTAAACCAGTACTCATAGGTATGGAGCTTACCTAGCTATTCTGCCACTTGGTCAAAATAGATAGTTAGAAACTTTGACTGAGACCCTAATCTGTGGAAGAAATGAGCTGAAAACCCTCGAGTATTTAGACAGGCTGATCACCGAAGTTTTACGGAAATGGGGCTCAATAAATTATTGTCGATCAATTATTGTTCATACCAAGGTATTTTATTCATAATTTTCCATTTTTGGCCGTTATTTTTTTCAACTTATAGTAAGTCAAACCTGTTATTATAAACAACCTATATTATCAAACTAAGCCTACTTGGACTAAACCAAGCTTCTCACCACTCAGGCATTTTTGGCTTCTGGCGAATAGTTTATTCAGTTTGAAAATGAAGCCTTCTTCGAACTCTTGATCATACTTTCCATTTAGATCCTCAATTAATAGTGAATTGAATGGCGATACAAGGTGGGTTACTCATTGCCCTCTCACTATGAAGGAGGCTCGAATCCTAAGCATTGATACCAATCAGATACAACAAGACAATGTAGAGTAAGCTTTTTTTTATTCTAAGCACCCCCATCATATACTTGCATTTATTCTCATATATTCACGTCATATCAAAATATTAATAGAATCTGCCTATTTTGAAAATGCCCTTTGTCACCTCGGTTTAACGCAACAGTATATTCTTCTTGAGACTATATATATACATAAGGGAATTGTTAAATACGAAGAGAAACTGGGTTTCAATGAATCTCGGGATTCATCCGTCTTCTTCTGGTGAGATCGACCTACAAATCTCTTCTTCATGCACTTTCATACGAAATGAAAGTCCCCCAAGCAAGACATTTTTAAGTTATGGAGACTAGTGTCTCATTCTGTTATTACGAATTTAGGGTGAGTGATTTCGCCCTTGACTTTCACCCAAAGGCCATCAACAAACGATTTTCTCTGCCAAACAAAAGTCTCTGATAGTTTCGATGCTCTATCACACATATTTTTACATTTACCATCAACACTGTACTCTTTCATTCTAATTACACCTAGTGAAGTTGAAAGATTATTTTTATAGCCGCTACAGCATCGGTTAATTCTAAATGCTTTATTTGTATCATCTTACTTGGCCACCTAGTCAATAAATATTATTGGGAAGTTTTTGTTTCTGTCCATTTTTATGCTTTTTTCAGGTCTTCCCAGTGTGGAGGCAATCGGGTCTTCTAGTATACGCTGATGGCAGTTTCTTGCCCCGCCATCTCACCTGGCTTACGCATCATCTAATGGCGCCTTCGTCGCATACATCTTTGTCTTCCGAGCAGTTTGAGAAGCAGACGACAAAGACACAACCAGTAAAGTCTATTATTCCAAGTGGGCGGCCATGGATTTCTGACTGGCTGATTAGGTGATTGTTCCCCTGTTTGCTTATACAACTAACCAAATGAGGCATTGGAAAAGTCTGTATACTTTCCAGAGTATCTAAATCTATCTCTAATGTTAATGGTTCTTGAGTTGGAGCGTTATTAATGCATATTTTGCATTCAATTTCCTCTAGTTATCGCCACAAGAAATACTTGGAAAGAGTCATTTTTTTAATAATATTATCCATGATTCCAATCTTAGAAATAGAGCAAGCAGTCCGTCATTCAGAAGGGTGAGCTAGATTTGATAACGGCCTGTCTTGCTTGGTCTTTGAAACCACGTATAAACATTCAAAACTCAAGATGCTTCTTTCACTGGCACCTGAAGCAAATGAGGATTTCCAGCATGATATATGATTTCAATACAACACAGAGCAAAAGTAGCTATGCATTTTCCCAATTAATCTGTGCTTATCTAGCCTAAAGCCAGTTATAAATTTATTTTTCTGCATATTGAGGAATTATACGAATGCATTCCCTACTGAGCAGCTAGGACCAACACGACATCGACATCCGGAACGCGTAGA